AAAATTGGGAATAACTAGAAAACTGTTTATTTAAATAATGTTAAGTTCACTATAATCATTAAATAAATAGTATGTACTGTAGAATGTCGATGTTGCTAAACTGTTTTCTTTTATACACACAGGTCTATATGATATAAAATGTTACATTTTAAAATAATATAACCTGAAAGCTAGAACAACGAATGGAATATATTTCTAATTAATAACTATAATGAATTATTCCTCGGGATTATAAAAAACAACCAAGTATAAATAATGTAATAATAAAGTAAGTGTTTCCATAATTGTTAAACATAAAATACCACCAAGGATACTTCATCAGAATAATAAGTTTCCGAGTATTGAACTGTTATATCACTGCTAAAATATAGGAAAAAATATTCAATTCCTACATAAGAATGTATTTATTTTATTTTATGAGTTTAAACTACTTTTCAATTTGCAAAAATATTAAAGTTTTATTAAAGGTTTAAAGTATCACTAGGTTTATTTAGTATTCAGAATAAACGACGCCGGGGCGTAAAACAATTATAATATTTAAAAGAGACGAGTAACGGCGGTTCGACCGAGAGCACATGCGTCGTGCTCTACGGTATCGGCGAAACAGGACAATGCACACGAAGTGCAGCGGCAGGGGAACCGCTTCAAACACGAGAAAATATAATATAGGAATGAGAAAAACAGGAAAATAAAATTAAGGAATACATTTTGATTAGGAATATAAAAATCAGGAAAATAAAAAGCGGGAAAGAAATTGCACAGGAAAATAAAAATCAGGAAAATAAAAAGCGGAAAAGAAATATAAAAAAGTGGGAAAATAATAAATAGGAAAATTACAGTAATAAATAGTAATTACAAAATAATTAAAATTAATTTATACCATAAATCAAATTAGATTGTGTTTATAATATAAAGATTAGGATATAGTATATTAGAAAAACAKTATTTTGAAACATTAAAATATTGTTAATAATTATTAAAAATAAAAACAATTACCTATTGTAAGATAAAAAAAAAAAACAAAGTATCAGAAATTATAAAAATAGTTGTTTGTTCGTTAGTTACCAAACTCTTAAAGAACCTGTAAAATTCACATTACAGAGTGGACAACGTTCAGGGTTTAAATTAATTATACAATCTTGGCATAATATTTTGTGGCCACATGGTATTAGAGCGTGTGTTCTGTCTGCTACCTTACATACTATGCACAAATGATCTYGGTTCTCTAAAGATGGAAGAACAGCTGGAACTTGTACATAAGGAATATTTTCTATCTCCAATTAGCGATGCCTGGCAGCAAGTTCCAACATAGCAACCATATCTGGATCTGTTTCTTCATGAGTGAGATAATCATCCTCGTCATCCTCTGTAAAAAAAAAAATACTATTTTAAATACTTTAAAAAAAAAATATTTGAATATGTATTCTGAATAAAATATAAAAATATCCTTAACAAGACTAATTGTAAATAATAACATCAAGTACATTTATTTTTTGTATAACAATTTTGTTAATTTTATTATACCTGCCACCCTTTTTATAAATAATAAATAATTTAAACTAACAATTAGTCAGATTAGACTGTGTACCTACCTACCTTCTTTTAATTATATTTTATTAAAACAAAACTGCAAGTATATAAAWATGATAAAAATTATAATTTTTTTTAATGATTATAATTATCAAGTACAGTAAGTTAGTAAGATTTATTTATGTTTTGTATGTTGGTATCAAAAAAAATAATACAATTTAATAGTTAGATTAAGTATTTCACATAGGTGGCCTCTCGTGAGATAGACTGACCCACAGTAATAAAAACCTGAGTACACCACTGGATATAATGATTAATGACAAAATATAATAAAGTATTACCATCTGGTAGAATTGAATCATCAGAATCAGTTACATCAAACAAGTGTCGCCTGTGTCTTAAGACAACTTCGCCATCAGGATCACTACTGTTCTCGTTTTCAACCTCCTGGATTATGTTTTGAGGTTCATTATGATCTATTAACATTACCCAGTGAAAAATATAAAGTGCAAATTGTTTTATATCTTGAACTTGCTACTTATAGAGAATATAATATTTTAATTATCCTACTTATAATTAGACTCAGATATAAATGCTCTAAACTATAAGCTAAACTGTTCTAAAAAACTTATGTACCTATTATGGCAATAATCAAATTATTATAATTACAAATAACCAAGCTAATTATTTGTTTTTAATRTCTATATATCTATGTTATTGTTACCTTGTTCAATGTTTATATATGTTTATAATGTTTATATTATATTTATTATATTTTTATATTTTTTTTATTATTTTACATTATATTTATAATGTTTATATATCCCAATTGATTTCTTCTCTTAAGTAACGTTCAGCACAATGTGAACATTGAAGTAAAAATTCTTTCACATTTATAACACCAAGCTCCAATTGTGTAGTTGCTGTTTGAATGCGTACAGAATTTAACAAGTATTTCATTTTTACTGGACGTGATACTCGTTGACCTCTTCTCAACTGTTTAATGGTTACATGATTTTTCAAACTTAAGCGTTTCAAGTGATCTAAATTAAAATCGTAATTCAAAATAAGTAAATGATGTTTTATTTTAAATTTATGAATTGGGATTTTCTTTCTATAAAAGCTACATAAAAATAATTTTAATTTAATTTTGAAATATTAGACTATTGGAGGTGAAAAGGCTCAATAGGACAGACTGTATTGAATACCATACTAATAATAATAAAAGTTATACATAATACACGTTATGTAATAATATTGTTCAATAGTCTTACTACTCTTACTCACCTAAAAACGTCCACAAATTTGGGTGAAGACTTTGGAATTTTTCTTTTAGTCCACTGTGAAAAGACTCCACATTATTATTTATTCTTCTAGGAACACCATATACTGAAAATCTTCTGGTGTTCTTGTACGTAACCAATAGCTTCAAATATATACAATATTATACTCGTACATGCTTAATTTTTAAGTTAAAAAAAAACTATATTGATAAATGAGAAATATCATACTTACTTGGAAAAATATGTAAAAAAGGACACGAGATTTACATTATTATTCCTTGCATATCTACGAATTGTCTGGTAACCCTCATCAATTAAATTGGGAGGCAATAATKGTAATACAGAAGTCATTTTAATACAAATTTGCGCCTCTTGGTTATTTTTTACATAATTTGAAAACCCATTACTTTTAAGATTCTTGACAAGACACTAAAAAGTAGTCATCACAATATATAGTTAAAGCAAACACACACATATTTTATTTAAGTAAATAATATTTACCTGTACATAGTGGTGAAACCAACAAGCATGTTGAACACTTTCAGGATAAATTATGTTGAATGCATTTTTTAAGGCAATTTCATAATCGGTCATTATACATTCTGGTTGAATAGCCGGAAACATGGCCTTACATTTCCTCAGAACAAGAGTATAAGCTAGTTCAGTCTTTGACTCCATAAGTACATATATAACTGGAATACTCTAAAACATATTAAAAATATTAATTACTATCAAAATATTAAGTCAAACTTTTAAACGTACATGGTTTTGAATAATCAAGTGCATAACAAGTAGTTGCCGACACTTTGGTGCGACAGGTACTATTTTAAAAGTGGCATCCGCGTGCAGCTCAGATCCACCTTGTCCTACAACTTCCTGTATCAGTTCCAAACATCCAAATATAATTGATGTCTTTCCATTATCATCAATTGTATGGTCCTGATAAAAGGAATGACCACAACAAACATATCGATCTACATCCGATTCCAACATTTCTRCGAGTGCATGCATTGTAGGTAGGTGGCAAAACTGCCACATTTTTCCTTCGAGCGTGGCGCATTGACATCTCAGCTACAGGCCAACAATATGGTTCTGCAGCTCTCACATGTCTATTAAGAAAAAAAATCGATCTAAGTATTATTTTTATAAAGTCATACATGTATTTTTATTTTTCACTTGTATAAAGTGATGGCTAATACCTTATAGATTCTTCATCATATATATCTCTGAGCCTCGTAGTTTCATTTACTGCTCTTTGAACCAGGATCAACCTAAACTTTTTTCTTAATTCTAAGAGTTCGTTTTCCAAATTATTTGGTTGATGTGAGTGAGCTGCATTATTCACTATAGTACCATCAGCCAAGCGTTTTGCTGAACCCTTACAAAACTTTTGACAGCATATCATRTACCTAAAAACACAATGCCTAATTATTATTAACAGCTATATATAGCATTTATAAATGAAGGTACTATAATAAAATAATATGTAATAAATAGTAATAAAATTATATTAAGTGGTACAAAATACAAATATATAATAAATAAATCTTACCGATTGCCTTTTTTTTCTCCTCCGTTAAATTTATAAGTATAACCTTCATAGTTCATTTTGATGAATTTAATATTGTAGTCAATAAAATATACACGACAAGTTGACAAAAAAAATACGAGTTTATGTTTGGCAAATGGTAAATAAAACACGACAGCAGTAATCAGCTATAATAATGACTCGCACTCTAAACACTTAATTAGTTGTACTTCATAGTTTACCGTCCGTTGACGAAATGCGACGAAGATGACGGTGACATTGTTTACATACAATTGAAACGATCGGAATATTTTCTATTTTTAACCTGTCGAAAATAATAAATWAACACATTTTCGACACGGAACGGAAGATAAGCCGTGGCAATGCGGCATAATTGCACGTGTTAAAACTTATTGTTATAAATTTATAAAAGGCGGGTAAGTCGTGGATGTCGCTCTGCCGTACAGTAGGTTACAAGTGGGTTACTGTAATGGATGGAATTAAATTTGAATCCAATGATATTATATCATTGTATACGAAAAACGATTCTGAG